CCGACACAGTAAAATGTCCCTTAGAAACAAGCGTACCCTCTATAAAGTCTGTATACGACCAGTCATGTCATACGCGGGCCCCGTTTTTGCCCACGCCAACCCTAAAATCATTAATGAACTCCAAATAGTTCAAAACCTTTTCTGTCGTCGAGCTGCGAACGCACCTTGGTACGTCCGTAATGCTGACCTTCATCGGGACCTAGAGCTCCCCACAATCCAACAATTTCTCCAAAAACTCTCTGAGAACTTCTTCAAAGCCTCAGAGTCGCACCCAAACCATTTAATTCGTGAGGCAGCTTATGCAGCCCCTCCCCCCTCTCGCTATCGAGTCCGCAGGCCGAGAAACTCTCTCTCGGACCCGCCTAATAAACTAACTAACGATCTGAACTGCTTCCTGGCGGCTCAGGCCAACTCTAATTAAATTAAATTATTATATTAACTAATATTAATTTGCCTTCGTAGGCACTCCCTCAGCGGCTCGTAGCCGCCTGCGCCCTCTTTTCCCAAAAGAGGGTCGCTCACGATAAGGCACAATACAGCTTAATCAGCCGGTTGCCTGTCCCCAAAGGCGGTTTTTAGAAGGTATCACTTAGGGTCCCCGGTAGGACAGTGAGTCCCTCATAACCACGATAGACCGGCTATCGTGGTATGCGTAATGCATTTTCCGCCTCCCTACGCATAGGGTAGCCCTTTAATTGCTTCGGGCGCAAAAAAAAATCAGTGCGCTTACAACCGTCATCGTGAAATATTATCAGAATGCCATGTTATTCAGTGGTTTCTTGTAAAAAACGAAGCCAAAACAAAAACTTTGTTAGTCATGGATTCACATACCATACCTAAGTACAAGTATTTCATTATATTTATCTTTAAAATCATATTAAACAACAAATCGTAAAGTATTTCTTTCTCTTACTACGTTATTTTTGTTTCCAAATATCACAGCCACTGTAATATTTTTGCAGTAAATACATTGCTCCATAACCACTACCTAAATATGACATCAAGTGACTTAACAAGCAATGTAAATATCACAAAACAATACTTTATTTATCCTGATATATTGCGTAGTACGACCGCTGTATATTGTGACGAGCTCGTAATGTGCGTGTGCAGATCCACTATCGACAATAATGTGGATTGGCGAATTGCTATTATAGTTTATTCTCCAATTTGTCAACCGTTTCAACCCAATAGGAAGACCGATGTGACATAATGTTTTTTACTTATTTTGATTATTTACAGCAACTAGGTACGCTCAATGCGTTACCAAAGGTCGTAAAGTAAGTTGATTAAATTTTAGGTTAATAATCGGTGGAGTGTTCTTAGGTTTGAATTATCGTATATTATGCCTTATCTTTGAAAAATTTTCATACTTTTTATGGTTTTGGGGTTTAATATAATTTATACTTTTCAAAAGCTTTGAATGTATCATAAATACCTAACCGGCATGGTTAAATAGTAACTTTGGCTTAAAATTAGTCAATATAATTATTCTTGCTATTTGTTAGACATGAGTGTATATTAGTTTTCGGTTTAAAGAACTTTATTTCTCACTAAGACAATAAGTCACTTACATGAGAACAATAACATCTATATTATAATTCTAGTGCGTGTGGGTAGTAAAAAAATAAATAAAAATTATACCGGTCGATCGTTAACCAAGAAGCGAGTTCATTGTGTTCCTATCAACTATAAGGCGGTGGTCCAAGTATAATTTTAATGCATAGTTTCATCATTATAAATATATTCAAATAATCTTCTTTTAAAAATATTGATTGAAGTCGCTTCTTTCACATGTTTTGAAAGTTGATTGTATAACTGTGCTCCCCCAAATGTTATGTTATTTTTTCCATAGTTTGTTCTTACGGCAGGTAACACAAAATTGCTGGCTCGGCGGGTTATATATTTGTTTATTTGACTTTTTGTTGTGAATGTTATGTGTGAGTGAATAAGCTTGTGAGTTATCTTGTAGATAAGTAGACATGTATTATACATAAAAAGTTGTTTAATATTTAAAATTTTTGTGTTTTTGTAAATCGTTTTCGATGGTGTTAAGAATTCATAGTTGTGTAAGATTTTAATTACTTTATTTTGTAATATTTGTATTGGTTTTAAATTACTTTTAGCTGCAGAACCCCATATTTCGATTTGATACAGTAAGTGAGGCTTCACCAACGTATTGTATATTAACAGTCGAGCTTGTTTCGTTATATATCGAACTATTTTATGCAGTGCGCCCACAAGTGAGGAGAGTTTGTTGTGAATATATTACAAGTGAGCTTTCCATGTAATGTTTTTGTCCAGTGTTAAGCCTAGGTATTTTTCTTGGTTAACTTGTTGTAATACCTCACCGTTAATGCTAAGTTTAGGTCGATCAGGTATTTTTCTATTTTTGGAACTAAATATTATGTATGAAGTTTTAGAAGTATTAATTGTTAATAGATTGTATTGGAGCCAATAGTGAAGTATGTTTAGATCCTCTTGTGCGCGCATCGTTATTTCTTTGACATTGATCCCGAAATAAAATAAGCTTGTATCATCTGCGTAGAGAGCAAGGCGACCCTGTAGTCCCGCTTGGTGAATGTTGTTTACGTAGATCAGAAACAGCTATGGGCCAAGAATTGAGCCTTGTGGTACGCCACATGTTAGAGGCTTGCGACTACTCTGGTAGTCTCCAACTTTTACAATCTGATACCGATCATCCAAATAAGACTTTAGCATTTTGTATACGTTTCCAGTAATGCCAATACGTTCCAATTTTTTTAGTAGTATGGAATGGCTGACCGTGTCGATAGCCTTTTTTAAATCAACAAAAACACCTAAAGCAATCTGTTTTTGATCAATTTTGGTTTTAATAGTGGTTACTAAATCTATAGTTGCGCCAGTGTTAGATTTGGGTCGAAAGCCATATTGTTGGTTATACAAAAAGTTAATTTTAGTAAGGTAGTCGTCCAATCTCATGTAAATAATTTTTTCAAGAATTTTGGAGAGTATTGGCAGAACTGAAACTGGTCGATAGTTTCCGGGATTTGTTTTTGTACCGGACTTGTGCACTGGTGTGACTTTAGTGATTTTTAAGCTTTCTGGGAAGACTCCTTCATTTAAAAGTTTGTTAAGGCAATCAGTCAGATTATGAATTATATAATTTTTTATACACTTTATGACTTTAGTACTTATACCATCAATACCTGTGCTCGTATTTAAATCCAAGTCATCTATGATTTTAGATACTTCATTAGCTGTGCATGGGGAAAATCGAGATAGCTCATGATGAGAAGTTGTTTGGTGTAGATTAGGTAACGTGTATGTATCATTGTTATGAAACTTGTCTGGTATTTCATTTGCTAGTTGTATACCTATGTTAGCGAAAAAACTATTAAAGGTTTCACATACCTCTATGGGGTCCGTGGTGACTATTCCGTTTTCATCTGTAAGGTTTGGGGGAACACAATTACTTAAAATTTTGTTATTTGCTAGATTATTAATTAATTTCCACATTTTCTCGGGTTTTTTGTACATTTCATGAATTCTCCGTAGAAATACTTCTGTTTTGTATTCTTAATAGTTTGTGCCAGCGTGTCTCTCTTAAATTTAAAATCTAGCTCGAGGTTATTATTTTTAGGATTTTGTTTAAATTTATTCCATGATATATTCCTTTATTAAACTGAGCTAATTGTTGCTATTAATATTTTTTTGAGGTTGGTATATTTTTTTTTTTTTTTTATTTTTATAATATGTTCTTCTAGAATATTAAAATTACAGAAATATTTTGAAATTTTGATAATTCTATAATTTTATTTAATTTACTATAATCAGTCGCTTCATACACTATTTTTTGTTTTGATGGAGGCATTACTCTTTTTATTTCTAAGTACATGTTTTTATGATCCGATAGGGCTGATTCAATGATAGCCAAATGAAAATTGTTACATTTCAAGTTAGTAGAAACATGATCAATAATTGTTTTTGTAGTTGTTGTTTCCCGAGTACAGTACTCAGGGTCTATTTTGTTTATAATTTTGTATCCAGATTCCGTAAGCATAGTTTTATAACGTTTTGTCATACTGTCAGTACATAATAGATCTATATTCGTGTCTCCAAATATTAAAGTCCTCTTTTTTAGCAGAAGCTGTTTTTCGAAGTTACATAAAAATCATTAAAGTTTGAATGTCCAGGCTTGTAAACAACCCCAACATTAAGTGCATACTTATAAATATATATACTCAGATAGTTGTTACCTCCAGTATAGGATGCTTTTGACAGCTTATGTTTCAAATCATCATGGACATATATCGAAATATCCCCACCGACTTTACCAGGCCTGATGTTATAGTAGTGTGAATAATTTTGTATGCGAAATTGTTGAGCTTGTTCTTCAGATTTTAACTACGTTTCAGTCAGTAGTACGACGTGTATACATTTTTTGATGGAGTGCAGGACACACTTAAGTTCGTCAAATTTACCTGATCTGCAGATGCTTCTGATGTTAGCATAGAAAAAATTAAGACTAGATTTATCTGAAGAAATATTCTGATAATTATTAAGTACTTGGTAAGTTATATTCTCTTGATCATATATGAAAGGACGTTTGGTGTTAAGAAGAAATGGAGAACTTAGTTTTTTGGGTCTTTGTTTAAAACTATTTTTGGCAATCCTTTTATATATTTTATTGTAATGTCTTTTTCTCCATTTGCTTTTCTCTGTGCTAACTCTTTTTTTAAGATTTTTCATATAAGTATGTTGGGCCGGTGTTTGATCTGAATAGATCATAATGCCACCTTGAAGTTTATCTCTATTACGAAGCAGCATTTTTGCAGTTTGTGCAGATTCAAAGCATACTTTAATGTTGCGATCCTTTGTAGGTTGATATTTACCAAGACGAAATACTCGAGAAGGTTTCGGGCACTCTTGTATCAAGATGTTTATAGTGACTTCACTAAAGTCATAGACGCGGCCTTCATCAATTTTTGTTGTTTTGCATTCACGTATGCCTACCACTATTATATTTTTTCCCTAGTAACCCTTTCTTGTAATTCTTGGATAACATTTTCATCAGAAGTTGACATCGTCGTACTGAATGCCATATTATTTTTTAAAGTAACGATTTCTGCCTCAAGAGATTGAATTTTATTATCCGCCGCTGTTGCCTTTGTAGTTATGTCTGATATTTGGGCCTTCACTGATATCTGGTCTTTATTCAGAGTGTCGGTAGCCACTTTAATGTTGTTCACCTGTGTTTTCATTTCTGTAATATTGTCATGAATGAAGTTCATTGTAGCTTCCTGGGTGTTTGTGAATTTTTGTAACATCAATTGAAATTTTGAAGTTCTTGTGCACAGTTGCAGTTGCAACTATGCTCTGGTTGCTTACGTTTTCTCTGGGTAATTTGGTGCTCCATACTAAACTCATTATTCGATGTTCCTAAATCTGTTAATGATCCACTTAGTCGGGGTGGTGAGCGCATTAAGTTCATGACTTATACCACACAACTTTGTCGTCACTATTGAATTAATGTATGCATTAACCTTTGCAGAAATTTAGAACTTATTTACTACTGTTTAATGCTTATTTTAGCGGAAAACTGTAATTGTATTTTAAGGACAACAAAATACACGTCTATTTCATATAATCACCACACGCACTTTTTTCTGTTTTCATATATTTAACAATATTATCACTAACCAGGAGTTTTTAAAACAAAAGATCGCCAAGCAAAACCTGCTTAGTACATGGTGAGGTTAAAAAGTAGCTTAGGGTATACGAAAATAGGTTATTAATCGTACTTTTCGGCTTGCCAAATGATGCTAATTTAAAAAGGAATGGATTGATGCCACTGAAAGGCCACCTGACTGGTTCCCTACAAAAACTAGTGCTGGTCGTCGTAATTTGTATGAGAATGAAAATTATCATAAACACAGCTTGTCTCGACAATGACAAATAAGCAATTAAAAATAAAAATGTGAAACAGGAACTCAAGGCAAAGGCTTTGCCAAATTTAATTTTTTTTAATGTGAAGTTTCACCAATTTGAGCAGTCCCCGATGAATAATCATATATTACATAAATACATTACATTATACTTCTTAAAATCAGTAATGGAAAAATACATTATTTTGAGATTACACTATTTGACAAAAATGCCACCCCAGAAATATAAAAACGTCAAGTGCTGCACAAATAGCTAACTTTACAGGTCAGTGAGTAAGCACCATAACATGGTTCTAAAATACCTACTACTTCAATCCGCTATGATAACCTAAACGAACATAAACGGACTTTTTACTGTTTTTATTTATTTTATATTTAGGGCCCAAAAAATTTTAGTACAGTTTTGGTATAAATGAAACAATCGATAACTTTCCAATTTAGTCAATCACAACGATAGTGCCCGATATTTTTGTGTGAGTAAGTAGTACGGTGAATGGTAAATGGACGTTGAGGTTTTAGAGATATGGTTTATAATTAATTGTGTAGTACGTTATGGTTTATTAAATGTGAGCGTGACTGCGTAACTATTGCTTTTACTGATATGTTTGTGTAGTAGTTGGCGCGTGGTAGGGGCCAACTGGAGACACCGGGTTCCGATACATTTTCAACTACTGGGCATATCTCCTTCATTATTATATCTATGGTCAAGTCACTGACTCGCGTTCGTCTCCTGCGGCCTTGTTCTTGGAAATTTACGTACCCGACAATATTGTTTTTGTCTATACTATGAATCCATCGCTGCTTTTAGCTCTGGTACTCGTAGACATGAACTAGCTTAAGAATCAATGGATATTAAAATGTGAAATCAGTTACATTTTCGGAGACAATTGTAGTACTGGAGGTGAATAATTTAATTTAAGTATATTACATTAAATACAATATTATTTAAAACATTAAGTACTTATTTATGAAATGTTATACCTTTATTTGAAAATTTGCAAGTTGTGGAAGAATTTCCGCAGTCGGATATGCTTCAAAACACCATTTTTACGTATCTGCGTCCGAAACAACACTGGTGACCGAAACAAACTCTCCTCACGCGCTTGTGGCGTACGAGTCACATGTGCGGCGACAAGGTCACGCGCTTTTACGACTTCTATTGTCTGTGTATTGCCTGTTAATATAAACTGTATAAATACGATAAACATTAAATTTAACTTCGTTTGTATAAACATTATATTCCTAATAATCTTTGGAAATTTACTAATCGTGTTATATTTTACACAAAGCTATATAAGAATAGCTTACTTTATAGCAAAACTTTCTTAAATTTTAAGAATTAATTTACATTATCATTACGTAATAATACTTTTACGAACGAACGATTTTTTATTAAAAGTTTTAACACATTAACTAGTCATACTTCATTCGTAATTAATAGAAAAAGTTGCTAGCAAAATTATACAGACGCAGTTGCGGTAATGTTTTATTCAATAATAGCTTATAACCACACACAAAGAACAAACGGCCTTACTACTTTCGAAATCGTTTTCGGCCATACCGATTCGAAATCAACTTTCAAAATTATTAAAAGATTATCTATATAATTACATATCTGATAAAATATTAGAGAAAAAGGTCAAGATAAGGGAACAAAAGAGCGGTGAAAATAATAGAAATTTTAGAATAAGAGATATTATATACGCTAAGGAATCTGACACTAGAAGAAGTGAAGATAAACCGAGATATATGAAAGCTGTCGTTAGTGGTAATATAGAAAGAAATGTAGTTCCTGTTAGGATTGGTATTAGAAAAACTTCAGTGCCAATTGAAAACATTAAACATCCTCCACAGGTGGTATATAATAATCCTGACGATGACTCAGAAAGGATGGGCCCCTTAACTTCAAAAACTTGAAAAGAACCCAAGAATATTTTCTGTCAAACTGGGTCGTGCCTCCTTGCAAATAGACAATTAGCTTATTATTAAAACTCTAAATTTAAAGTTATATGTAGTGATTTAGATTTTAGTGTATCAAAGTATGACGAATTCGATGTAAGACGATGTTATTAAAACTAGTTTTACGGATTTTATCGCGTTTATTTTTACTTTTTATTTACTTTTATTTTTAATTCCCGACGTTTCGGGCGCTTTCCAGCACCCATGGTCACGGGGGACTGAGATGACTGACGTCCCGATATCATTGTTAAACCCGGAGTACCTTCAGCTTTTTTAATTATTGTTTATGGTCCGATCTATGCAAAATGAACTGACTATGTCCTGAGGTTTTGCAGTGGTATGCTTGGGTTTAGTTTTAATTTTATTGATTATAGGATCCCAAGCAGGTGGTAGTACCCAGCCTCCTTCTCTATTGAAATTAGGATGTTTTTTTTAATTTCAATAGCCTCACGTATCATCCTTGGTAGGAATCGGTATTCTTTCGCGAGGATTTGTGGTCTATCAAATCTGATGTAATGGTTGGGTCCGTCTAGGATATGATCAAAAACTGCAGACTTCTCGGAACGTTGATGCTTCATGCGTACAACCTGTCTGTGGAATAGTTTACCTCCGGCGATTTTTCCGGACCGATACGACCTGGGGACCTTCAAGAAAAGAGCTTACTCCTTTCTAAAGGGCCGGCAACGCACCTGCAATTCCCCTGGTGTTGCGGTTGATCATGGGCGGCGGTAGTCACTTAACATCAGGTGAGCCGCATGCTCGTTTGCCCCCTCTTCTATAAAAAAAAAGAAATATAACGACTGAGTAAAATACCTGTAACAGAAACGGACAGCTAGGTTGTTGTATAAGTGTACGTTTAGTGCGGAACACTAAGCTATATTTAAAAGGCAGTGAGGTATCGTGTTACTGAAGTATAAAAACCCTAAAATGAGGCTTCTGGAGTGAAAATGGTCGTAGCAGTGTACGCAAAATATGATAAAGACCTAAATTGCTATTGCTGTTTGTAAAATTCCGCGATTAGGAGAAAGTACTCCATACATTATTACACTATATATCAATAGAGGAGACCAGAGAAAGTTACGTATTAATAAACGTGTGAATTAAGGTTCAACATTTTCTTTGTAAATATTTAAATGGCTAAACCTCCACCAGTTACCTAAAATGCCATTATAAGCAATTTTTGGTGGCCGATGAACAGAAAAGAAGTTTACAGCTGTTTTGTACTATTTTATACACATAGGTTTAGTATTCGTTCTTTAGTAAAAGTATTCTGAGGCATTCAGTGTAGCTATTTCAGAACTGTGTATGTTCAAATTAGATACGATTGCATGATACGGTCCTTACGTATCCGAAACGTTGTGTAACTATCTGTGCAGGTCCCAATGATTCAAGTAGTTGCACATAACGGCTTTTGGCTTTATTCCAGGACAAGGTGAAAGCTCTAAGTTAATTATCTACAGATTGTCAAGAAGGCTAGTGCTTCTAGGGAATATGTGCGAAAGCGTTCCCATGGCACTGCTAATAGTAAGGTGGAACACCATGAGGTTTCAGTGAAAAGCAAGGAATCGCTGCTTGGAGTAGCGAATTTGGCGACGATTTGAAAACGAGCTGGACATGGAATCGTCTCTTTCAGAAGGTTCTATAGAATAAAGAATAAAAATAATTCTTTTAAAAAATTTAATAACAATACCTAATCACAAATAATATGAAAAATCGACATGACTTGATTATAAAAATTAAATATAATTATAATTTAATAGGAGAGACAGAACGTGATGGGTGGCGACGAGGTTCACCACCCGTCACGTTATGTCTCCAGGAGGGGCGAAAAGAGGATTGCGGAGGCCCGTCTAGCGACGCTGAATGTATGTGGAGCAATGAATGATAAGATGGATGAAGTATGCGATATGATGTATGATAGAGGAATAGATGTATTATGTGTAAATGAGACGAAGCGGAAGGGAAAGTATGTCACTACACATGGCATATATACCGCGTACTGGTCCGGTGTAGACGAGACCGAGCGAGCATGCCAGGGAATCGGTATCATCCTTTGAGAAAGAATGGGTCAATGTGTGAAAGAGTATGAATGTGTAAGCCCGAGACTGCTATGGATATGAATAAAAGTGGGCCTAAAGAAGTTGTTTGTTCTAGGGGTCTACGCCCCAGACATGTCTAAGCCCACTTATATCCGAGAGCAGTTTTGGGAGATGGTAAGGATGGTGTTAATGAAATGTAAGGAAAATGAAAAGATTGTTATGTTAGGAGATTTTAATGGAAGGGTTGAGGTGAGGAGGCTTGGCTATGAAAGGATACTGGGAACGTTTGGTGATGAAAGTATTAATAACAATGGTGAAAGCCTCCTCACCGTATGTGTGGAAAGGAAT